CATCAATCTACATACTAATCATCGTAGCCAATTTTGCGTTAAACCTCTCGGTTAAACCATTACACTTTGGATGATAAGCAGTCGTAAATCTATGTTTTGCTTGCATTGGTCCTGAGAGTTCAGCCATTAATTTTGACTTAAACTGACGACCCCTATCTGTTAAGATTCCTTTTGGCGCACCAAATCGGCAAACAATGTTTTCAACAATAAACATTGCGACCAATGCTGATGTAGCCTCCGGCAAAGCTTTTACTATCGCAAACCTAGTGAAATATTCAGTTGCTACAATAATGGTTTTATTATCTTTGAGCGATTTTGGAAATGGCCCTAGGATATCAATGCCAAATTTTTCAGCTACACCACCAACTGTAATTGGCTGTAAAAGCCCTGCGGGTGTTAAATATGAGCGCTTTCTCGTTTGACAAACTAAACAAGTTTTGACATAATTTATGACATACTTTTTCATTTTTGGCCAGAAGAAACGAGCTTTTGATCTTTTCAAAAGTCTTTTGTTGACCTAAATGACCAGCCAGATGGTCATCATGCATTGTAAAAAGGATTTCTTTTCTCAATTGTTTTGGTATGACTGGAAACAATTTTGGACCAGTTTTAGGGTAAATTGCATCTATTGAGTATGTTGTTTACCATTGTAAACTTTTCAACTCTTTTGTCCCTTTTGTTTACGACTAGTTCACTTTCTAGTAAACTAATGATGGAGTTTAGTTTGGGATCTTTTCTTTGTAACTGTGCTAGGTTGTCGAGACTATTGGTAATTGCTAAAAGGTTAAGATGTTTGTCAATATAAGGGATTTCAGCTTTGCCCTCGGGGTTTCTGGATAAACAATCAGCTTCCAGGTGGTGCTTTCCACTTTTATAAACAACTTCAAAGTCAAATTCTTGTAAAGCTAACGTCCGCCTTGTTAATCTGAGGACAATTTCTTGTGAGTCCTCGTTAACGGTAAATGAGTCCTCGTTGAGTACAACAATATTCTAATGACTCGTGCCATTCCTTCAAACATTTAACAAACACATCTTTGTCAACTCAAGCATTTTTTTGCGAAGTGTAATCTAAATCCAATTTTTTCAAACAGCCAGGATAGAAAAAATTTGGTTTTTTAACTTTTCCAATAATAAGAGGCAATAATAATATTTCTACAGATCTAATTACGCAAAAGAATCGATATTCTTTCATGAAATACTTTATCACCACTATGATCATTTTTACGTATAAAATAAGTTTTATTTGGTGTTTGTCTCCATAAAAGGCCAGTTTCGTCACAATTGTATATAAACAGGTCTTGCCAACTTATCAAGATTCTTGGAATCTCATTCAATCACCAATTTGTAACAACAGCTTAGTTAACACATTTTTCCACCAGAGAAAACTCCAAGCACTAGGTAAATCCTCTTTCTAAATCGTGAAAACCATTTCCATGAGCATTTCAATTCATATCTTCCTGCCTTTTTAAGCCATTATCTTCCCTTGTTAAATTATCAAACTTCCTGACGGTGGAATGCCTTTGTCTTGACACGGCTAAAAAACCTTCCAATTCCTTGTCATGGGAACAAAATCATTGCATTTTTGCAACCAGTGAAAGTAAAATAAAACAATCTATGGAACTTGAAAGATTGGAACGAAACGAAGCAAACTTACCTCGCTTGTTTACTTAAAACTGTCTCATCAGCTTCTCTTATTATTTGAGCATTTTGTAGGCATCTAAAAACAATTGACCTTCCAACTTTATACCGATCAACACAATCCTACTTTTGCAGATTATGCGTGAAAAAAGCTTAACTCAAAGAGTATGGTGGTCAGATTTCATCAAATCATCATCTATCTCAAGCCCATCGTGACAAGAACAAAGCCTTGCAGATGGATCGCTAACTCTTTTTGGTCACAGAAAACGGTCAGTTTAAGCAAACTTATCAGTTTTTATAAACCATATAAACCACCGTTTATATTTACCAACATATTGGCTTATTTGAGTTTGCTTTGTTGAATAAGTTGTTTCTCGTGCATTTAAAACCCAAAAATCAAAAACCTTAATGCAAATGCGTATGGAAATTTAGCAAAGGGAATTGAGTTAGTTAAGAATTAAATTGGTGGAAGGCTGATGATTGTAAGTGATAACCTTTTGGAATAATCGAGGCTCAATATTTGAAAGACAATGGCCAAAATCAAGATAAATATTATTAAATTGCTAAAATTATTGAATTCATGATACACCGCTCAAATTTTTATGGGACAATAATAGGTTTAAGCTATGTAACTCTTACGTTTACAGTATGCGGTCGCTTTAATTGCAAATCGAAGTAAACTATTTCGCAGAAAATAAAAAGTTTTATTTATCAAAATAAGTACAAAGTTTTCCGGCTAAGCATCGAAAGTTACACTAGTGGAATAAGTTTCATGAAACAATTTGCTTCCGTAACTGTACAAAAAACGATCGAAGGCTTAACTACGAACTCGATTTTCTCGAAAACTGTTCATCAGAGAAACTTATAAATTGCATAAATGGAATCAGTTTTTATTTCCCTACCAGCCAACAGAGTCTAAATTTGTCAGAAAACGATCATTACCCGTTTCCTGGCCTCTTGTTGATGACGGATCCTAGGCTAACCTAGTCACCGACACTGGATATCAAATTTAGCTTCAATTGCTACATAAGTTTATCCTAATAGTTGTTGAAATTTCATCCATTTTCAAATGAAATTCATCAAAATGCTGCGATTATCGTATTGGATGAACGGCGGTTAAAAACAATTCCACTTCAACTGACTTTTTTATACAGGTCATTGTCATCTAAAATTGTAAGAATTGCGATGTAAAATTAAGATTAACTTGGGATGGTGACTGAATTTGATTATGCTAGTGGCCAGTGGTCAACCATAGGCAACTGTTTCATCGTCCATAACAAAGTCAATATGATCGGCCAAAATTTTCGATTTTCGATGCTTATGCTCACTACCTGCCATTGTCGACTCACTGTTAACGGACAATTTATGCTCTTCAAATAACCCGAGAAGTAATGCATCATCTCGGCTTGAACGATTTTACAAAAAAATAACACACATAGATACAAAATATAATATTTACATAAACAATTTGTAAGATAACTTGCATTTTTTGCAAATTGCGTTGAGTAAGTCGAGCAACAAATGACAATGAAATAATCTCAATTTCCATCAGAATTTCCCCATAAATTCAGGCATTTACAATAATCTGATTCAATTGGATATTGCATCCATTAATGTGTTTCAAAGACTACAAAACCTTGGTTAAGAACCCAAGACTTTGCTACTTAGAATGAGTTGAAGGTAGTAAGTAGATATTAATGTGATGAATGTCAAAGGTGTTAGAGATGATTGACCACTGGACGGTGACACTTCTGCAATCCTTTCAAACTGAACATTTCTTTCAGCATACAAGACGACATTACCTGAAGTTACTTTTAAATCAAAGCTACCAGCTAGTAACTCCAACTGGTTTGTATAATATGATAAACATATTGGTGTTGTCCAAGAACAGGAGGATTCATCGATTCTTGTATTGAACAGTTCTCTTACTGAAGTCACATACGGGCCATCTTGAATCAAACTGGTTAGCGAGTACTTTTCACGATTACATGTAAATACGAGTTTGACTCCATAAAAATTGGTAAATGATATCAAAACGTCAGCAGAACTAAAATCAAACAATTGAAAGTAATAGTTGATGTGATCATCTTTTTGATGAAAAGTGAATAAAAATTTACGCGATTCACGAACTTTGTTGCAGCATTTAAGTGATTGAAGTCGATAAAAAGGTAGTTCACTTGTATCATTGGCAAGCACGACACTTCTTGGTCCATAATTAAGATCATCATATTTTAAAGTCAGAGATATATATTTTGACACAATAATATAATTATCATCAATGCGAAAAAGTGGCCAATTGTTGCTTGTTTTAGTTGCCTTCCAATTACATTGAAGATTGTTGTTTGTGTATTGACTTGTTCCGCCAGCCTTTTGTTGGTTGTTTTGCCATACAAATGAACGAGGTTCGTGTGTATGTAATTTACAATAATATGTTGTAGTCGATGATCCACTGGACAAGATCAATCCAAATCCATGATGCGTTTTGTTAGGGACAATTTGATATTCAGTTAGGGTCAAACTGAAATACAGTTTATCTTCAACTTGATCCATTGTAAAAACCGCTGAAAAACGGTTATCCTTTGAGCAAACACTGGTACCATCTCTTGAGATGCAATAGGTTTTACTTAAGCACTCATCATTGCATGTGTTTAAGGCCACAGTTGAATCTGAAAGAAGAAACACGATCACAATTAGGAAAAACATGTTCCACAAAGTGTTACTCGAGTTAACAATTAACGATTATTTTCGAAGTCTTTACCAAGGAATTATACTTTGAAATCAGTTGATATTTAGATTTTTAACACTAATTTTTTCACTATCTAATCATCCATCTTATTACCCATTGTTTTGCCTCATTGAAAACTTGTATTTCAATGGGAACTGGATTATCAAATCAATGCTCATCTATTGTATTGGAATCTTGTTATCTTGTAAATTCTTTGGAATTGCATGACTTCTCTTCAACATTGACACAATAAGGGACAAAAATTATATTTCCATTTGTACGAATTGTACAGATTGTAATTCCTTGTACTCGAGTCAGTCAATCTGAATCGACCAACCAATCAATTTGACTCTCTTTTAGGTAAAATCAAAAACATTTACTTATTACTGAGTATGTTATCTTTTCTTTATACTCGCTTGCTGACTCAAGAAGTCGTTTTGAACGAACGTCGAGTCAACATTTTTTGGTCCAGTTCGTGTCATCAATATAAATGTAATCCATTTCAAACAAGAATGATTGTGCATAAGAAACATTAAACTTCCAGATGAACACCTTCAACCATACAATGTATTGAATAAGCGAGTTGAAATATTAAATAATGACTAAATATCGTTAATCATAAATGCGAGTGAATAGATATTTTTTGTGAAAGTTGTTTAATGAACATGCAATTACAATATGTACAAATGTTTCAATCTTGTATTGTATGGAATTTTATATCTATGATTTGTTTAAAAACTTTAAAGATTCAACATTTAAAATCAATAAAATACTTCTTTTAGCTATTTAGCTTTCAACTTTTCTACAAAATCTTCTATCATCTTAACCGCCTTTTTCCCACTATCAGCTGATTGCATTGATTTTGAAATAGCATTGATTTTGGTTTGCATTTCTTTGTCAGCTAATGTTTCCTCAATTGCTTTTAAAAGTGTTTCATTATCCAACTTCCATGTATCCAACCGTCGACCAATGCCACAATCAACAACCCTCTGAGCGTTATCAAATTGGTCGAAAAAGAAAGGTAAGACTATTAAAGGTTTACCAAAATACAATGTTTCCATAAAAGTGTTATTTCCACCATGCGTGATAACCAAATCAACAACTTTAAGGATTGCAATTTGATTGACATAATCTTCCCCCCACATATTAGATGGTAAATCAATCTGGAAACCCAATGGACCCTTGGATACGATAAAACGATGCGGTGCCTGGGCCAGAATGGCAATCACTTCTTTCATTAATTCAACATCAATCGACCCAAGTGAGCCTAAGGAAAAGTATATCAATTTGCCGGGAAGGTTTTCTAATGTTTCTGGCACTGTAAAGGTCTCCTCAAAATCTGGTTTCCTGATATTTGCATCGACTCTAATCCATTTATCAGTGATTTTAGGTCCACATTCGCTATAGTCAAGGGCTTCAGGATAATGATAAAAGCCCAAGTGTTTGGGTATATCGACAAAGTAATTATCTTCTGGAAGTGGTTCAGTATTATACTCTTTCCACCAGGCAAACAGCTTTTCCTTAAAACGAATGCAAGCTCCATCGTAAACTTGTTTAAATTTGGCATACGTTTCTTCATCTAATTTGGTTGAATAACCCGAAAATGGTGGAGGCCCTTGTGGGTATATAGACAATGGGTTAATGGATGCCAAGTGGATATAAGGTATTGGTGATGAAAATAAAGCTGGAAATCGTGTCACATAATCTGCTATTAAAACATCAAATGAGTCTTTGTGTTCTTTCAAAACTGCGGCCAAAGCTTTATTTGTTGGCTCATATTCATCCACAACGGACGAGTAAAGTTCCTTATCTGCCTCACTCCAATTAGAGTACCTGGTCAGCGCATCTGAGCGAAATTTGCTTAAATTTTTCTTTGTCCATTCCAGGAAAACTGCAGTTGATTGATTTGCGAAAAAGGATTCATCAAAAGGAATAAATTTGAAGCCTCGCTTTGTAGCCATGGCGGCGTAACGGTCACGATGAGTAAATGTAACTTCATGTCCAGCTTCAACAAGGAGTTCACCAAAACCCAAAGTGAAATTGATGTGACCAAAGCTAATAAAAGGAAAAATGTTTTAGTTACAAATTGATCAACTTTAAAGTAATCCAAAGGATACTTACGCATCAAGAGATGATAAAAGAAATTTATAAATGGGCTTCATTTTAAAATTGCGATGAAAATGATCTAAAACTGATAGCCAAGTTAAGATGATGGAGATGATTAAGATCGATGATTAAACAACTGTAAAATACTATTAACACTTTTATTGTGATCTCCTTTCAATTGGTCCCACCATTTAAATACATAACTGTCTACCCAAATAATTGATGAAAGATTATATAAATACGCAATCGATTGTTTTGATTGTTTTTTCATCAAGCTTTACTTTGTGTCTCGACTTGTTGCTCAACATTTTCTCAGCTGAACAAAAAAATCGTTTTAGGGGATTTCCTACATTTTAAATGATAGGCTCACATCTGCCAAAGACAAATACAATTAGGAATCAAAAAGCAAATCTCATTTGATTTCTTAAATTCTTCTGATATGTTTAAATTGGTTTCACAATGACAATTGCCAAATTTGTTGCATAAAATGTATACAGGTTAATGATTTACTAATCATTGATTAGTAATCAGAAGCTTGCAGGAAAAGGCAAAAACCTTTTTGAAAAAAACTGTCGAGTTGCACTTGAAAAATTGATTTAAAGTGTCATCAGCGAGTCAAATCAGACAATCAACGACAGTTTCCGAAAGAGCATTCAATTTCATAAAGAACCCAAGAAAATCAAATTGATGATTGATGATTATCTTACCAGATCCTCAGTTTCCAATTCCCTTTGTTTCAGTGATTGATGTTAATCTTGTCAATCAACTAAACAATTCTACATATTTGTAAAGATGATTGACTTTCGGATCGTTAACCAATAGACAGATATATGTTGGCTGTTCAAATCAGGTCAAAAGCCCAACTTGAGACTAAACTTGTTCAATTATTGAATCAAAACAAAATGTCCACCTTACACGACAAATGAATAAATCTTTATCGGATTGAAGCGAAAATGATTTAGGAAAAAAATCTTTTTCAAACATCGCTGAAAATCATTGATAAATAAATTTCAAGATTGGCATTGAACGATATCGCTAAAGGCATTAAATTGATTCGCAAATAAGCTAAAATATTAATTTTTGTCTCGTTAAACATTATATTGAATATTTATTCACAGATTGCAGTCAACATTTGTAAATTTATACAAATACTTTCCCGTCAGCCTAATGGGTATGTAAATTGTCTAGTCTTTAAATCTTCCTAGTCACTCTTGATGTCATGGAATCATGATAATTTATTAGTTATGATCAGTTTTTACAATTAATTCTATGTAACAAGACTGATTTCCAGAGCAGAAAAGGTTGGATAAAGAAAGATTATGGTCATTTTAATTCTCTTGCAATGATTACGATCATACGTAATGAATGTTGTTTTCTTTGAATAAATATCTGTATTCTTCAGTATTTTCAGTTTATTTCCTGATCCATGATCGGAGCCTGAAATGACTTCAATTAATAAGCTATCTCAAGGTACAGTTTAGTTAGCAACATTAATAGAGCCTTATAACCTAATAATCTTTGACCATAACAACTTTTGTCTGTACAGAAGATTGAAGGAAAAAAAGACGAGAGACTATTTTATACTCTTCATCTTTTGATTGATTCATTTCTAATCTTAACAGGCACATAATAAGTGATTACAATTACTTCAACAGAACTACTCAATTAGGTGAATCTCCGCCTTCTCAAGTGCTCCAAGTTGGACTTTAGTAGCAAATCGTATTTTTCAATCTAACCAAAACACATAATCTTTACTGGTCGTCACAGTTTACTCACAGTTCATCTCAGAAACATGTTGCCTCTTTTTTCAGCCTCATTCATTTTAACATTAGTTTTTCTTTATAAGTTTCTCAATTTTTTACCTTTCTTTGTTAACATCTTAAACTGGATTGGATTGTTTATTGTTTACCTTTGTAGTTCATGGATATTGGCAAAATTGATTCACAATTACATTTCTTCTAAACTTCTGGGTCCTCTTCCAACTACTGGAAAAGCTGTTCTCATCACTGGTAAGTAGCAAATAGAGTCTTTTTTATGTGTCTATCGTTTATTGTAATGTAATTGTTTATTATAATTTTATGTTTGCTCAATTGTCTTTGTTCAGGGTGTGATTCTGGTTTTGGTCATGGAGCAGCATTGCAACTCAACAAGTCGGGCTTTCGTGTGTTTGCTGGTTGCCTGTTTCCTGATGGGAAAGGAGCCAAATCATTGAAATCATCAGCCTCTAATCGAGATAAGATTCATATCATCAAATTAGATGTTACCAAAGATGAGGACATCGAAACGACAGTCAACTTGATTAGTGAACATCTCAATAAATCGGGTGAAACTCTTTGGGGTATCGTTAATAATGCTGGTGTTGGAAGAGTTGGTAAAATAGAGTGGGGATCTTTTGACAATCACTTTCGCCAGCTGTTTGATGTTAATGTTTTCGGAGTGGTCAAAGTGACTCGAGCAATGTTGCCTTTACTCCGTTCTTCATCTGGACGTGTAGTCACCATTTCATCAATCAATTCAAATATGACCTTTCCCAACACTGGAGCTTACTCAATGACCAAAGCTGCTTTAACTCCTTTCCAAGATGCGCTGAGAGCTGAAATTGAAAAATTTGGGGTCAAAGTTATATCTATTGAACCAAGTTTCTCATCAACACCTATAATTGACCAAAAATCTGTTGACAAACTTTACAGTGACTTATACGATAATTCACCCAAAGAAATTAAAGAGATTTACTATGAGGATAAAATGATGGAAAATTTAAGGCAACTCCTAGCAATTCCTTGTCGATATCTCTCACCTGAAGCAACATATGACAAAGTAATCAATAACATCGTCAAATCTTTGACTGATTATGAACCATCCTATTGTATGCCTGCAACTCCACCAGTAATGTCATTTGTCTACACAATTTACCCAAGTTTTCCACCAGAATTGAAGAATTTAATTGGAAAGATATTAATGAGACTCTCAAGATCATTGAATTTAGATTAAATCCTGCGTTGATTATTTGCTGGCAAATGTAAAAAATGTAATCCTTGAGTTTCATGCTATCTTTTTGGCAATAACAGTGTCATTGGACGGTCAAATTAATTTTATTTCAATAATTGTCTCGATGATTATGACATGATGAGGTATATATCGTTGATTTTAACAACGAGCAGAATAAATTAGAGATGATTTTACCTCTTTTGTAAATTAAAAAGAGTCGTTAATTCATAAATTGAATTTCTTTTTTGATTTGGCAAAATAAGTTTCGCTCTTGAGTTTAACGTCAAACAAGAATTTTAGAATGGCCTTCAAAGGACATGAACAAAAGTAAAGATTCTTCGTGTTTTTACAAAAATATAAAATTGACCTGAACTATTAAGATAAGCAAAAAACAAAATATCACCAGTTACGATAAATTATAAGTTGGAATGTATAAATGATAAGTTAAAAGGCTTAGAAGCAATTGATGGAAGATGTTTCAAGATGTGAAAATTGGTGTAAAGCAAAAATAAATTTAAAAATTAAAAACATGATTAAGAGTATTTGCAGTTGACATGAACTTCTGCTTCCTCTCGTTGAAAAGTCACGATTAGTAGACGCAAGATTCAGCCCCAATGGGAAAATTTTTCAAGTCCATGGCTTTGGTCTTCTGTCATCTTCAACTACTTTTTGAGTTGAATCAATTTTTCTTAACTTCAAATTGATTGAGCTTTCATTACAGATCCTGCAATGTAAATAATCCAAAGGATAACAAAAATGATGAATGTTGGAATCGAATAGCGTAAAGGTCCTCCAAGCTCACCAGGACCAAAGATTGGTGCAATTCGACGGAGAAGAAGAATAGCGATACAGATAAACGATAAAGCTGTGTAAAGAGCTACCGAATAGCCCAAGTCACCAGCTGGCACTTCAAATATTTGCCCCTTGGATGACCAGTAAACAGCAGCCATTAACCAAGGTAGACCAAGTCCAAGGAAGACATTAACTGAGTTACTGCCCGTGATATTACCGATTGCGTTATCGGCATACTTTTCCATTCGAGCGGCAGTCTTGGATGCAAAAGTATCTGGTAAAGATGTGCCCATGGCCACAAGAGTAATTGCGGTGATGGAAGGTTTAAGACCAGTTAAGCATCCGAAAGCTTCAGCTGTGTCACCTACAATTGTAGTTATGAAACCAATGAGGATAAGTGAAACAATAAAGGTTAACCATCCATTCCAAATGCTCGGTGGAGGCACAAAGGCGAACATTACTTTCCAAACAAAAGATAAAACATGGAAGAAATAGTCGATGAAATTGGGTTTAATTTCCTCTGAACCTTCTATTGTCATTGCTGACCTAAACTGTTCAACCCATTGATCTTTGGCAATTTTAAAGCCTTTCCTTTTCTTTCCAATCTTTGTCATTAATTTGGACATGATAGCATTATAATCGGAATCATTAGTAACTGTAACCATGATTGAGTTAATTTTTCCTATTTTAGCTCCATTTGTGGCACTCAACAAGTGAACCTCGAAATATTCGTCTTTAATTTCTTCAAAATCATTTTCAATGGCAATTTCAATTTCTTGTCGCATAACTCCGTGTGCGAATAAAAGAGTACCTTCACCACCAGAATAATCTCGCCCATTTTTGGCAGTTCCATCAACAGTTTTCCATTTCACTTCAATCTCTCCATCAGAACCTTGTTCTCGAAGTACCGGTATCACCACTTTACCAACATCTTCTTCAACCGTAATCAACCTTTGTCCAAATGCAATGATACCCGGAAAATCGTCATCAACAATAGTTACAGTCATCATGCAAATTCGTCCTTTGGCAACGGCTGCCGATTCATTGTTATTATCATTGTCAATTAAAGTGAGTTTGACCAAAAAGATGTTGTCAGGATTCCAGTTGTCATCGTCAATGATTTCAATGTTAATAGTCTTCTCCTTTTCATAAGGTTCAAGTGTGACAATCTCTTTGAAAGCTTTGTAATCTCGGCCTGCTTTAGCGGTTCGATCAAGAGTTTCAACTAAACATTGTACCGAATTGTCCATGCGACCATAACGAACAACAGTAACATCAACAGAACCAGCATTCTCAAGGACTGCGGCAGTAGGAGCAGCAAATTGGACCACAGCGATATCCTTTTCGTGAGCAATTTCAGCTGCAACAGTAGTCAATGCAATGGCACCATCAGGAACAGATTTAATGGCATGTCCACCACTCATGTGATCTTTCATTAAATCGTACACTTGTTGAAGTTCCTTGGTTAAATGAGGAAAAGGTGGTCGAGAACCAGATAACCAACGGCAAGCAGAGACTCGGTAAAAAAGTCGAGAATGGCGTTCATGTTCAAAGAGATAAGTGGCAGCCAAGCAAGCAGCATCTTCGGTTGAAATGTTGGGGTCAACTTTACGTACTTCCTTCAGAAACTTTGCCAAGCTTTTCTTGCTAATTTTGCCTTTTGGGAAAAAATCTTCAACTCCTACAAATAATCCGTAAAGATGGTTTTAGTTTCAAGTGTTTCCAGTTGGCCATAGAGAGAGGTCCAAAAAGGTTGAAAGTTAAAGGAAAAAGAAAGTTAAAAATGAAAAGATTAAAAAATGATTAAATTCAAGTTGGGATGTAAAAAGATGGCTAAGATGATGAATGAAAAGAGGGCGAAACTGAATAGTTGTTTCCTCAAGGTTGGCGTTGAATGAGAAAAGTAACTCAAAATTAATTCAGTGATGATCTCACTCTAAACACTTTCACTGCTTCAAGTTGGCTCAATGGAGGAATGGATATGGGATCAACTGGAATGGGTCATGCAATATACCCATGATTGATCCGCCAATTTAATTGTAATCAACTCTGTAGGATGAAAGAACAAGTTTTGTTCTTGTTTTCGGCTCAAGACTGAACATAAAAAACAAGTTTTAAGAGTAAAAATAATAAACAACAAAGGATAAACTAGAATGTATCTAATTTAAGTTATATTATCAGATAAATGGCAATTAACCTGTAAACCTACACAGAAACAAAATTAAGAATCAAACCTAACTTTCATGAAAACAGCGAAATGAATCACGCTTATCGTGGCTTGAAATTTGAAAAATGAAATTCCAGGTGAAATCAGAAAAATTGTTAAATCTACTAAAATAACCGGTAACTGGATAAAATACTCAAATCTAATTGACTAAATCAGTGTTACCAAGAAATATGTTGTCAAACATTTCACCAACAAACCAGTGAATCATTATTTACAATAAAAGTATCAACAATAAGATTGATTAACAAGTTGTAAGTTGATTGGTAATGTTTGTCAAATAACAGGAAAAACAATATTTCACAAAAGCCATAAACAATCAATAAATCAATAACTGAGCTCAGTTTGAAGCAACAATTTTAGAGCTTTTCTGGAAAAATTTCAAAGGTTTTGCCCATTCATTCAAATCTTTATATCCATCAAATGGTATGAAAACGATTATCGTACTTGCTCCAGAATCAACCTCGGTGAAACTTCCTTTGGCCGGTTCGATTCCTTGAGACATGAAAAAATTGCGATCGGCAGCATATGCGATAAATACCAGAATAGGAAAGAAAAGAAAGGTCAAAAGTGCTTCCCAAACTTCAACGACATCGGGTGAAATGGTAACCAGAATAAGGAATAGCCAAAGGTAAGCAAACACACTGAAAGTGCAAGTAACTGCAAAAACCTGAAATCAAACAAAACAAAATTAATTTAAAGCTATTCAATTAATTCACTAAATATTGACATTAATGTTGATCAGTTTAACCTGAAAGGCAAGGCTAGTGAGTTTTATGAGCAGTCTTAGGGAATATTATCATTACTCATTATAATTGTTATGATAAATGTTAGGGATTCATTAATTAGTTGATTTGCTATTTTTAAGGTTCTACAGACAGTTGCTATGGTTTCATTATATTAATGTTGCCATTAATTAATATCTGCTCTGAGTCCAATTTAAAGTCAGGTAATATTAATAATATAAAAGGGTTTACCATGAAAATGCAGGCTATTCAAAGGTATTCAGGTTAATTGTATCTCATTGCATGTCTCGTATGGTTCACTGAATTAGATTAGAGCATGGAAAGAGTGACTAAATTATTGTTAATTAATTATTCTGTTCAAGTTGATACAACAATTTGGTGACCTTAAATTTAGACAGTCAAAGGTTTACTATTAACGTTTGATTATTGCTTATAAGTTATAACAGATTGAACATTAAGATTGAAAATGTAAGATGTAAAGCAATGTAATGATATCAATTGAATAATAAAAAGATTTCCAATTGATCAATTCTAATTATTCCAATGAGATTTGATTACAATGTCGACAATTAGTTATCAAGTGACTGGGTAATATAAAAGTAATCGGATGACTACAAATGTTTAGTTAAACTATTGAAGGTTACTTGGTGAATCGACAATCAACTTAAAGATTGTACCATTTGGTAATTATTCAATTTAAATGTTTCCCTTGCAACTGAATATAAAAACAATTTAAGGATACAATTGGTCATAATCAATGAACATGACATTGACAATCCTAAACAAGTTTCCTTACAATGGACACTTGAACATAAGAGGGTTAAAACAGTTGAAAATAGTGTTATTCAGTCACGAAAATTGACAAAATATCAAGTTTGTCAAATCAACAATCAACTAAAAGAGTGTCACGAAAAACAAGTGAATTTTGGTATAAAATGAAAAATAAATAAGCTTGTCAATGATGAGCTTGACAAACTGTCAGGTAAATGATATCTAAACATTTTCAATTGGCACAATAAAGTTTGCAGCTCAGGTTTGCTTCAAATAAAGTTGGAAAGCTGGAATCAAAGGTGAATGGAAGACATAAGGCTTATTCAGCTGATTAGGTGATTAAATGTGAAATTGATACAAATGAAAGCAACATTAACCAGAACATCCTGATGCCTGGAAAACACCTTGAAATTCATTACACTCATCAACTTATTGTTTCAATCCAGTTATGTAGGATATTGAACTATACTTGGTATTGGTTTGAAATGAAGAAGGGGAAAGCTTCTAATAATAGTTCACTCACAACGGGCGAGGTTAATATTGAACTTGTCCAAATTGTATCATCTATTGAAATGAATAAATTCTGATGGAAACCTCGCCCATTGCGAGAAGAAACAATTTTAATTATGACAGAATCTTATTCTGAAGAAAAATTTTGCTTCAATTTGAATAAACGTTTTTGTAATACCATCAAAGGAATAGCAATATTTTCTGGTTAATCGCTTTTACCAGCATTGATCGACATGGAGATTTCAGTGATAGATTTTAAGGTTAGATGGATCAACTAATTAAGAGGTTGACAGTTTAATTATGCAGGTATTAATACTGGTCAACAAGTAAATCATTCAACTGGTTAATGGTTATCACGGTTAAATTGAAAAGCTGGTCATTTTGTCAGCATAAATGGGTTTATTAATTTTATCCAAGTCAACCAGCATTGTTGCTATTTTTATTCATCAATTTTTTTTCTGATTCATGATCTTACCTTGATTGCTTTGATGGTTCGAGATTCATGATTTGGAATGCCAATAACACAAACGGCAGAAATCATGAATAAATTGTAAGCTGCTGAACCAACAATAGTACCAGGCCCTAAAGCACCAGAAACGAATCTGAAAAAATATTCAAATATTGGTTGAATAACATTAACGATGTCAACTCTTTTTTATCACTGTTGCATGACAAACTTATTTTATGATAAAAAAAAAGATGAAAGAAATGGAATTGAGGTTCAAGCTGATAATAAACTGGTTGCTTAGAGGTGATGGCAATAGGTTTTGAAGTGTTTAGGAAAACGAGAATGATGGAAAGACGATAAGAAACATAAGTTTACGAACTTAGCTGTAATAAATCTTAAAAATGTCCTTGATTCTGTGAAAAATATTCAATAACTTGTGAGTCATAGATTACCGATTCACCAGATACATTGATATTTCATAGCCAATTAGTCAGATATTTATTTTACTAATTAGTCTGGATGGAACAATATTCATAGAAAGTCTCTAGGAGAACTGAAATCTTATGATAACGAAATGATGATTTAATATTAATAGAAAACAATTTTCTTCATGTGCTGAATTTCGATAACTTGTTTGTTAAAATATGTTGAAAATCAGTTGAAAACAGGATAATCTAAAGTCAGGTAGAATATGAAAGAAATGGAAATGAATAAATAGGAAAATATCGCATGTATTGGAGAAACAGTTAAACAGTTCTTGGAAAATGTAATTGATGAAAGTCTGAGCTTGAACATGTTGATTAAACATACAGACATAAGGAAATGAAATTAACTTTTGATTGTACAGATGTGTATACAATGTATAACATTTGGTTCCGAGTTTAATGACTCGAGAAGTTTGGGTAAAATAATTTTCTAAGAATTCACGGTAAAGTTGAAACTTACCCAGAAGAGACGATCTCAATTATGGCGAGTAAAATTTCAGGAGCAGAAGAACCCAAAGCCATGAGAGTTAGATTGGCCACGGTTTCATTCCAAACCAATACTTCCATGTATTCTGGCGGTGTATTGGCATCTCCAGGATTGACAAGAATTTTCTTTGTTTGCGAAGTGATCCGTTCAATCGCACACATAAATATATCGGCAATAATGGCAATACCAAGAAACAGGTAAAGAAGAAGAAGAAGATAACCAACAATTCTCACCCAAAGTAACATTGATGCATAACCCAGGTAGGGTAACATTAATCCACGGGAAACACATTGGTCACCATTGTGGTCAAAAAAAGATGAATTTGAAACAATGGTTGACATGTTGATGAATAAAAGTTGACTTGTAAAAGAAAAGCTAATTTGTACTAACTTATTATACAGTTCACAAAGTTAAATATTGTCTCAGGTCAATCCATTTTCAGGTAAATTCAAAGTAACTCCTGTTAAACTAGTGAAACATGCCCAAAATAGCTTTCAAATTAAACCAACAGTTATAACAAGATTACTGATGAATAGTTTCACTTTTTCATTTAGTCTTACAAGTTTTTTGTTGTTACTTTGTGTCTTCTTTTCTGTCTACCTGAGTCATCTATCGTGTATCAAACCAACTAAACCTGGTTTTGGATTCATTCCGAATTAATCATTCATGCTTATTAATTTGTTGACTCATTTTAAACCTTTTTAATTAACCCGACTCCATACCTGGCCAGGAAACAAAATTACCTGTTTTCGATCAAAAAAAGACAAACAATTATTAAACTAATAAATCAAGAAATCAATTTGATAGCTAAATTCAATAGCTATTGAGAAAACCTCTTTTCAATTCTTTGATTCATTTCAAAGATATCTTATTTTTTAATTACTGGTTCGCATTTTAATTTTTTTTCATCCGATTTTCAGAAATTTAATCACCAGTAGAAATTCTGAAACAATCAGAATAGATTAAAATTCAGGTTCTCATTAAATACGTCTATGTAGCTCATATTTGTCATTGCTCTTGCAATTAAGTTACTGATATTGATATTTTTTATTTTTAAATTTAAATTCCCTATTAAAAAACTAGTAATTTACTTATAATAAATTATTAATTGTTCGATTAAAACTGAAGTTTGATGTTTGATAAAAACTTTTTTCAATCAATTTCCCCAAAAAGTAACATTTTGTTATGTTCGTAATGTTTAAACCTTCCCTCAAACCTTGCTCCATGCTTGCTGCAGTAATCTTTTGTGCTGTGAAGACTCCCATCTAAACTGATTTCAACCTTTTTTACTTAATTCTTTTATTAATTGTTATTAAATTAAAATGGCTCCTCAAGCTCAATCTAATAAATCTGGTACCCAAATGATGGGACAGTTCAAAGATAAAAGTAAACCTGATGACATTCGTGATTCTAATATTCAAGCAGCTAAATCAGTTGCAGATGCTATCCGTACTAGCCTGGGACCAAGAGGTATGGACAAAATGATCCAACAGGATGATGGCAATGTGATCATTAGTAATGATGGTGCAACCATTTTGAAGCAAATTCAAGTTGTTCATCCAGCAGCTAAAATGTTGGTTGAATTAAGTAAAGCTCAAGATGTCGAGGCCGGAGATGGTACAACTAGTGTGGTTATTATTGCAGGTAAGCTGGGTGTGACTATTTCCAATTTTAGCTTTGAGAACTATTTTATTGATTTTTGATTTTAATGTTTGTTACAGGTGCTCTCCTTGATGCTTCTTCTAAGTTGTTGGCTAAAGGTATTCATCCTACAACAATTAGTGACGCTTTCCTTGATGCGGCCAACAAATGTGTTGAAATACTCGAGGGTAAAATGAGCATCCCAGTTGACTTGAATGATACCGATTCTCTTGTCCGAGTAGCTTCTACTGCCCTTAACAGCAAGGTTGTTTCTCAGTATTCAAGCTTATTAGCTCCTATGGCTGTAAAGGCAGTGCTTAGAGTAAAAGACAATTGTAAAACTAACGATGTTGATCTTAAGGATATCAAGATCATTAAAAGACTTGGTGCCACTCTAGAGGAAACCGAGCTTATTGAAGGACTATGTATTGATCATAGATTTGCCAATGATTTTGGCTCTAAAAAAGTTGAAAAAGCTAAGATTGGTTTAATTCAATTCTGTATTTCACCACCAAAGACTGACATGGATAATCAAGTCGTTGTCTCTGATTATACCCAGATGGATAGGATCCTTAAGGAGGAACGAAATTATATCCTGAACATTGTAAAGCAAATCAAAAAGGCTGGATGCAATGTGCTACTCATTCAAAAGTCAATTCTTCGGGATGCACTCAATGAGATGGCTATTCATTTCTTCTCCAAAGCTAAAATTGCTCTCATTCAGAATATCGAACGTGAAGAAATAGAGTTCATCAGCAAAGCTCTTGGTTGCCGTCCAATCGCCAGTCTTGACCATTTTGTCGCATCTGCTTTGGCCACAGCTGATCTGGTTGAAGAAATCCCCTTTACCAAAGTTACTCGAATCAGTGGGATAAAGAGCACTTCACCCACAGGTAAAACAGTTAATGTTTTACTTCGAGCATCTAACAAAATGATGCTTGAGGAAGCTGAAAGATCAATCCACGATGCCCTTTGTGTCATCCGATGTCTAGTTAAAAAACCCGCTCTACTTCCTGGTGGAGGAGCTCCTGAAATTGAACTGGCTTTGCAATTGAGCCAGCTCAGCTCTTCCCTCGTAGGTCTAAAAGCTCATTGCTTCCAAGCTTTTGCTGAAGCTTTGGAAGTTATACCGTACACTTTAGCCGAAAACGCTGGTCTTAATCCCTTGCAAACAGTTACCGAACTTCGTCAACGGCACTTTGCTGGCGAGAATACTGCTGGTATCAATGTACGTAAGGCTATGGTAACCAACATTTTAGACGAGAATGTTCTTCAACCTTTACTTGTTACTGCTTCAGCTATTAAATTAGCTGCAGAAACTGTTAGATCAATTCTTAAAATTGATGATATTGTTCACTCTGTGAGATGAACTAAAATAAATTATAAACAGTGATCATGCTAACCTGGATTTTTGAAACTTAACAATATTAAATGGTCATGGAAATAAATTTTGTCTAACTTTAAAACAAAATTTAAATTTGGACTAATGCTTTCTAACTTCAATGATTACTATTAAACCTCTTTTTCACTTATTATCATCTTTCAAGTAATTTACAAATAACTTTATTGAATGATACAAGTTCAAAATGATTTATCATTGTACACAACTCGTGTAACAAGTAATCTCTTTATCAAGTGAGGAGATATTACATTATTAATCAATTGACTCGGATTGTATGGTGCAGATTCAAAGTTAAACTTTCCGGATTAAAGAATCGTAAATCTTCAAGGTTCTATTCATTACACAATTATGTCCCATTTGGTTTATGATTGTACTCATACACTCGTACTATGTAGCTCAATCATAGTTTAAAGTTTAGCTTTCAAATCTGTAAAAGTTCAAGGATAATATAAATGTGAGAGTTAAGCAATTGTCCTCAACAGTTGTCCAAAACGAGAGCTTGTTTGTACTTTTCCCATCCGTTGGAATATTTCTCATAGAAAATTTTAAAAGCGGTTCTTTTATTCATTACATCAACCAATCAAATCCTTCAGTCGATGATTTTATTAATAACCATCTAGTAATAAGGAGTTGCTTTATTTTTCCATCGCCCTCCTCTTAAATAATGTCAAGTCTTCTCATTTCATTTACAATTTTACTTAACAGCTCTTTTCTAACCATTTCTATTTCTCTACAATTAGTTTAGAAAATAGTTTATAAAATTAGAGTTCTAGTTTTTAGTGCCATTATAATCAACCTACCTAACCATCTAATTATAAAATAATGTCATCCCACCAACAAGAAACCAAAGCCATCCATGTCGGACAAGAGCCTGAACAATGGTCTCATCGCGAAGTTGTTCCTCCCATCAGTCTTGCAACTACTTATAAGCAGCCTAGACCTGGTGAAGCTATTGTAAGTATTTATTTTGTCAATCTATCCGATTAGTAATTCAATTCAGCGCAAAAAATTCTCTTCCACCCATTTCTTGTGTCTCCTCATGAGAATGAAGCATGTGTAATTTGTAAACATTTAGATTTTACAATTATTGCTGTGTTGGGTATAGCGCTTGCATTAATTGTTCAACAACCCATAATCATGGCTATCATTTTTTGTGTCCATGTTTGGTGAACTGTAATTAGCGATGTCATCCCACTTACACATTTCAATGTTATTTTCAACACAAAAGACAATACCATATGTTGAGTGTTGATATCTATACTTTCTGTTTCATTAAGTGATTATCAGCTGTAATGATTTCCTTTTATTTTTAGTCATACGAATATGGACGAAGTGGCAACCCTACTAGATGTTGTCTTGAAAAGTGTTTAGCATCTCTTGAAAATGCAGAGCATGGTGAGTCCATTTGTCCCCTATGATTTACTGATCTATGTTAACATTAATCTTTCTATCATTCATTTAAGGATTCTGTTTCAGCAGTGGATTAGCTTCAATCACTACATTAACATATCTATTGAAAAGTGGCGACCATATAATCTCTGGTGATGATATTTATGGTGGAACCAACAGGTTATTTCAAAAATGTGCCGCTCGAATGGGATTAACCACAACATTTGTTGATGCTCGTGATGTCAAAAATATTGCGAAAGCTTTACAACCAAACACCAGATTGATCTGGATGGAAACTCCAACCAACCCAACCATGAAACTTGCTGATATTAAGGCAATTGCTGATTATGTCAAAACTCTTGATAACGTTATACTTGCTGTTGACAACACCTTCATGTCTCCATATTTTCAGAAACCATTAGATTTAGGTGCTGATATCGTTCTCCATTCAATCAGCAAATACATCAATGGACATTCAGATGTAATCATGGGAGTGATTATGACTCGACGGGAGGATCTTGCTGAGCGAATAAGATTTTTCCAAAATGGTAAATAGCTTTTGAATATTATCACTTATCGCAGATGTTTCATCTCTTTGTTAGATTATGCAGTCTAATTATTGTGAATTTGCCAGATTTTTATTGTTAGATATCAATCAGTTCTGTTGACAACTAATACTATCTTTTGTTTCTCATTCATCTAGCCCTAGGAGCCGTTCCTTCACCATTTGATTGTTTCCTTGTCAATCGAGGGGTCAAAACCTTAGCTGTACGAATGGAATGTCATCAGCGTAATGGCTTAGAAATCGCGAAGTACCTTGAATCACATCCAAAAGTGGCAAAAGTATATCATCCAGGTTTACCTAGTCATCCTCAGCATGAGCTTCACAAAAAACAATGCTCTGGGTCAAGTGGAATGATATCTTTTGAAATTAAAGGAGGTAAAAAAGAAGCTTCAGATTTTGTTGCCAATTTAGAGATTTTTACTCTTGCTGAAAGTCTTGGTGGAATTGAATCACTAATTGAGATACCATCTTTAATGACACACACGTCGGTCCCACTCGAACAAAGGAAACAGCTCGGTATCAGTGATAGTTTGGTTCGAGTATCAGTTGGAATTGAGTCAATCCAAGATTTAATAGCTGATATGGATCAAGCTTTCGCCAAGATCTGATAAAATCAATGATTACAGCCTATCTTGTTGAAATCTTTTGTATTGGATTTTTTCAATAATTGAATTTTGTGATGATTGTCTCACCATAAAAATTGTTACTTGGTTAAAATATTTCAATAGAACCTTTGAATAAAATTAATAGAAAATTTTATTTCTCTATCTTTTTGATTGGTATTGTTTCATTATCTAGTCAATCACATCAAAATGTAATTTTTTCATTTTCATATCCAATCATTACCCGACTAATGCTAAAGTAGTCTCTAGCATTTCAAATTTTCCATCTTTTGATCATTTCGACAAGATTTAATGGATCTAAACAATATCTTAATGGTTAAAGTCTTAAGTGATTGAGTTCAATTTTATTTTCCAAAAAGCCTTTTTATGTTTTACTCTTTTACTTACAGCTTTTTAATCTATGGCCATTGATTCAATTGCGTCTTTGATCATTGAAGCTATTCAAAATGCTTCTTTGATTTGATATTTAACAAGTAAATGCGAAAATGTATTTAAATCAATATTTGCCGATGAAAGAAGAAAAAAATTACGGATCTTAAACGTCTGAATAAATAAATCAGACTTCCAGTCAAAGTACTTATTGACCCACGTACCTTTAGCTATAAGAATCCAGTGTCTAAATTGAATATCGAGTTTCAAGTTTTCAGTTTATCACACACTTTACCATTAGCCTAACTTCATTTGTAAATAAGAGTTGTTTCAGGAAAGCTTTTAAATCAACGCGATTCACTATGTATCTATTGAATAACTAAACAAATTAATTCTTGTTTCGCTTGTTTTAGAGCCTTTTGTTCAATTTTGACCAATAGAATACGCGATTTAGTTTCTAGTCTTAAACATTCCGTCTCTCTGAATATAAAAGGCTTAGATTAATACTTTCTTTTGCTCTGAACTTTTACTCTAAAATAATAAATGAGTCGCGAGTGGTCAATATCATTTTATAGGTAGTCAATAAATTTTGATCAGCTCATCATTACAAAATCAAGAATCTTATTTAAAATGATTATTTGAGTGTTTCCTCTAATTAAATACTTGAAGTTCAATAAATTTTTAATCAAATATAATTTGATGCATTTCATTCACTTTAACCCATACAAGTGACAAGATACCAACTGAGCTCTAAAACAAGCATGAACATTTAATATCATGGATTCTATTTACTTTTCAAATTAAAACTGACCAGATGATAATTATCTTTTAAACTAACTGTTACATGATGTTAAAACCCGAGAAAATAGTGAATAATCAAGAAACTAAATAAAATCTGTGTGAAATTGGAAGCTCGTATTATTGCAGAGAAGTGGTAATGTGAATCATTAATTGGTAATTTATCCGATTATCTAATCCAACGAAATTAATTGATTCAATCAAAAATTATTTTCTTTATCCATTAGTTTGATAGTTTTCTTCAAAAAGCATTCAGTATTGAAAATTTTATCACAGATAATGTTGCTTAATCAATCAGCAATTACAACAATTAATGAACACCTGAACGTAAATGAAATTGGTCAACTTAAACAGGCAACATGAGATCCTACCAACCAAATATGATTTGATACAACTGCCGCTTCCAATGTTTACATAACCAATTCCTTGATATCAAATGACTTTAATCAACTCCTGATTGTAACAGTTTTGAAAGAGCAGTGAATCCATCATTTATTGTTTCCAAATTCAGTCTTGTTTGGAGAGGTTTGAAGAGCTGCAATTCGTGTTAGAATGCCATCAAATCTGCTCTTTGAAAAGCTGCATCTTGATTTTATATCCAAAAATCAGCAAAATAACATCGTTATCGTCCATCTTCACTTGGGAATATTCAGTAAATAATGTTCACCGTCGAATGGAATGTTATCGTTTGAAAACTAAAGGGCATAAAAAAGAAGCATCAGAATTTGCATGACAATTTAACGATCTAGAAAAGGAAAGTTATTAAGAATTATCGAAAGAATGAAAGATTGATTTTACAATTGTTAGTTAAATTTGGTTGAAATTTAATAACTGTTTGTGAAAAATTGAAATAATGCTTAACAGAAAATACTCTCTTTAATGAGAGATTTTATGGTTAAACTATATTTTTACATGTTGTTGATAATTGTGAGTCAAAATTGACAAAATCATTTTGCTCATATCAAGTTGATGCAATAAAATCTCAGTTGAGTGAAAACGGAGATCATTTATCAAAGATTTATCAACCAATCAATATAATTGTATTGAAGATATTCACTTATATTTATATTTAGTGAATATTTTATCATTGAAATGAGATCTTTGTAGTGTTTGCCATTGGCAGGGAAAAAAAATTACAAAATATTGCCTCGAAAAACAAAGATATTTACAAAAATGTATATCAATAAATTTCAACAAAGAATTAATTTTTCTTTCTCAGAATCAGGGTTCTTTGTTCATTCATGATCCATTATATCGAGCAACTGAGTTAAGATTTATATTCTCATATTGAGTTTGATTACTTTGTCTTCTTGTTGCACTCTCCATGGAACCTTGATGGCGACGTTTTTTCCTGCAAAACTTTAATCCACACAAATTTTGGAAAGTCGTTTGAAACTCTTTACGAAATTTAGCTGTAATTCAATAAAAGTGGGAAGATGATAGAGAAAAAAAAGGATTAATATTAAATGTGATTCAATTCTCTGTTGGAGAAACAATTACGTTAATCTTCAATCAATTTATAAATTGACTTACCACTCATAAAGTTATAAATAATAGGATTAATTGCGCTGTTGGCATAACAAAGCCAATGGGAAGACAATGAAAGGATGCTTATAACATCGTTTTGGGGAATCGCAATGAAACATCTAATCAATTGGGTGTCACAGAGAAATATAATTATTAAGATGGAATATCGTATTGAAGAAAGACAAAGTAAAAAAAAGATTAACCTTTTATGAAGCAAAATATGTTTAAAAATAGATTTAATTATTGGTTGGATTATCCATTAATCTCTTACCTTAATGTGTTAAGGACATGAACAGGAAGATAACATAGACCAAACATTATGACAACAGCAATTAACATCTTGGCAACCCTTTGGCGTGATGTTACTTGAGAATCGTAAGGATATTTTGATGTATTTTTTGTAACTGTCCTACTGTTCCCACCGTTTGTTGAAGCACCGAAGTGCGAATCTATTTAAAAAGATGAAAGAATAGAAAACAGAATTATCAGACAAAAATATTCAATGTAATTCAAAATTATTTCAATTGATACTCACTTTCAACACTTGATTTGTAGCTTGGTTTACTTTTTGAACGAGTTCCTTGGACGCAATCGGATCTTTTGGCTATTGTTGAATTCATCTCAATGGAAGATGCATCAGGATGATTATCCTGTGAATGATTATGACTATTGTGATTAGAATGACGGTTTGAATAGTGATGATGTTGGCCAGTTTCACATGAGCCAGGTATGTTCTTGTTCCATAAAACAATAGCAATCTGGTGATAGGCAACGGACATTAAGATGATTGGTAGGATAAAATAAGTAGTTACAATCCATAATTGGTAAATTTTTTCCGTCTCTTCGGACCAGTCATGGACACAATCGGTATAGTAGATGGTCTCGTTTCGGTGAAATGGGCTGATTGTTTGTAGATGAATTAAATCGGGAAGGTTGATTGCCAATGAGGAAATCCATATGAATATAATTGCTACTCGAGTCTTGGTTATGGTACTTTTGAATTTAAGAGGACGACATATTGCATACCATCGATCAACTGATATAAAGGTTAAGGTTAATACGGAAACAGAGACAGAGACAAACTGCAAAAGAAGAAGAAAAAGTAATTAGATTAAAAGTTCAATAAGATTTATTAAAAAATAATCAATAAATTGGAAGATTTCTTGAAATATTCAGCATTTAATGAGAAACGCCCTGATGATAGAGCTTTTCCAGCAACAAGCTAAGAAAGCAAATAAATAATCATCATAAAAATGATTATTAAACATGGTTTTCTTTGAGAGAAATCATTAAATTTATATTATAACCATTCTATACAGATAAACTATTTAGTAACCATGTTTAAATGCATAAATGGTTCCTAATATTTCTTATTAATTTGATTGATGTTACAATCGATTGTTTAGTAAACAATAAATATTACCATCAATCTTGATTAAGAGACATTGAAGATGGGTATATTAATGATTGTGGTAAGTTTGTTGGAGGATCAATCTGTTGATATTGGTAACAATTTACAGATATTCATTTTGAAATTACATTAAAACACAGTGATTGCATAATTTTGTAAATTTAGATCCACTGATTTTCATCAAGCTAATTACTAAATTATGCAGTCCAATTTAATAAGTAATTCTTGTTTTTACCATGTGTACACGTAACCTCATCATTTTATGGCAAGGTTACATGGTAGGCAACATTAATTAGCTACTTTTGACTAGCAACATGACTTATTTCCGTAAATTAATTGACCTTCCAACTAAATAATTAATATTACTGTTTTTAATGATAACTTAGATGTGTAAGATAATATCCACTGTTGACCAAGTTAATGATGATATTCCTGTTAATGATAACATCTTTTTTCCTCTGTGTAGATAAAGGCAATAAGGAGGAAAGATATAAAGAGTTGATGCCATGAAAGGTGGAAAATGATGAACAAGGAAATGAAGTCAATAATTTGGCAACATGGAAAAAAAAGGGAACCAAGAAAGGCTAGGGTGAATGGATTGTGGAACCAATTTGATAGCCAATTAGATCTCCGGGTGAGTTTGTCAAGATAACCAGGAATTAACATCAAAACCAACAACCAACTAGTAAACTTAATGATAATGAACCGATAATGAAAAAGTATACTGAGGTGACTTCAAGCAGAGCTGAACAAATAATGAACATCGTTGGATTGCATCAGATTCATAAACACAATTTGTTGAAAAATTTGATGAAAAGAGGACAAAATTTAAACCAAAGCAAAGCAATTTACTGTCGAGAAAAACAATTGTCCTGTGAATAAATCAATCTCTTGAACAAAGCCAAATGTTTAAGGAACGTCTTTTGGAGTCATCTTCTGTTGTCTCTTCTGTTGTCTCTTTCCAAATCTTGCACAATATTACAGTTGATAACAAAGGCGACATTTTGTCTAATCTTGATGATGAATATGATAACAGGAAAATTCAAAGCAACAGCAACTTGTTACTTTGTTTACCAAAATGTGTTACATAGATAATATATGATAGATTATTAGAGATATATTACACATCATAGTTCAACTCATGGTGCAAACAGTAAATGTAAATGTAGACTAAATGAATTGCCTGTTAAGAATAATTTACTTACAAAACAAATTGATGATTAAATGGTAACTAAATCACAATCACTAGTTATTACAATGAACAAAGGGTTTCAACGGAATATAAAATGAAAGCGATTTTTGTTTTTCTCTGTCTGGATCATTGATAATCAGTAATAATCTTACGGGATCTTATTTTTTGTTATTCTAAGCTTAACAGCTTAAGCTTATTAATACATCTCCAAAGATTTGCTTATTTTGCTAGCATCTTGATGGATCTCATGTATTTTTTTTTGTTTTCCCAAATCTTGGTCTTAACTTGTCTACTTTTTTGACAACTGTCTAATACACAATCCAGTTTAAGTATGACAATTACCGTTCTTTTGTTGTCAACAGTTAGATACTTAGTTAAAATAATTAGCTAATTAATATTCTGGTTAAATCATAATCCACTTTTTGCTTTCCTTTTTTTTGCTGTTTTCAACCCTAAATGTGTCTTTTATTTGCTTTATAATTTGAATAATGTCTTCAATTAACAGTGATTTTATTATTTTTACTCTTTTTGCATTAAGGTTAACAATCGTAAGAGCAACAAAAAATTAACCAATCCAGTCAACATTAAATTGTTCATTTTTACTTTTATTTGCAACAAACCTTGTGGCTAAACGTTAATGTCGTATAATTAGCCATTGGTGGTTATTGTTACAGTTTATATCGAAAAGATAACCATTACTATCGCAATCCCGCTTAAACTGTGAGTCTATTGTTTTGTTTGGTTACCAGTTACAGTATTTCTGTGTTTAATCGTCAACAAACTGCCTTTCAACAATTTAATTATTCAATTAAATACATTTATAGTCAACTAACTGTGCATAAAGTAAGTAAATAATCGACTAATCTGGTTTTTGTTAACCATGTTTATCCATTCTTTGTTTCTTCTTCTTCGCCTTCTCCTTTCAAGTGTAAACATGTAAATCACAATGGTTTTTTCCTCAAATAATTATCGGTATCCACCATTTGTATGGAATTAACAAATGGAAACAAATATACATCATTTTGATTAATTTAAATCATCCACTGGCAATGATTGATTAGTGATCTGAAGAGAGTCGTCTTTTCGTATAATGTAAGTAAACCCAAAATCAAAATTTCCATTAACAAAGCTTTCAACTCTAAGGAAACTATTAATTATCATCATTTCTCTACATTTACAGATTATTTTTAATGGATGAACACTTTTGGATTAGACAAGTGACCAAATCGGAAAATTACACAAACATATGCACAGTTTACCCATTAATCTGCTCAAAGGGGTGATTCAATTGGAATTACAATATGTTCACCAGTTCGTCTGGTATTCTGCCTTTTTACACATTTTTGCTAATTACTAGCTTAGTAATCATCAACTGGTCATTACTATTTGACTTCAATTGTTTCTCATTATGGACAAACAATTAAACCTGGTGAACCAACCTGGTGAACTAGAAAACCGTATGAATCTTCTGTCTCAAAAAATTAGTTTGTTTTCAATTGTAATGGGAATAAATTACTACAAATCAGATTCAGGACAATTCCTATATGGAGTCAATTGTTTTTCTGCTATTGTATTTATTTGCAGGTTAATTAATAATAATGATAAAATTACTATTATCAATATTATCATTATTATTACTGAGAATCAGTACAATATGGTTTGTATCTAGAACTTCTAATTTGTTTATTAGCCATTTGATTGTAAAATCTTTGTTTTTCTGTTGATGATAGCTACACACTGATAGCAATCAATTGTGATAAATTATTAATTATGCTGTTTCTTTCCATCTTTATTTTGTCCATATTATAATAGGAATAACTCTAATTATTGATTATCGTAAAAAAGACTGGATCGACTAAAATGATTAATGAATTACGTTGAACAATAAAATGAAAAAGGAAACTTTGGGTGACTTTGGGTTATCATTAAAGACCTTTTCCTGACAATGATTCTGATGATGACAATGATTAATTAAATGTACTTTTTGTAAGTTTTAATGATCTTTTTATTAAGATAGGTTTATTTCAATTCACTTTGTCTTTATGGGTTCCTTCATTCACCCTCTTTGTCTCTGAACCAACTCTATCTTTTCAGTTCATTTTATATCATTTCTCCCGATGAATAAATTATTTTGCTATGAGAAAACTAATTCTCATACAATGATTTAGGGGAAGACGTTTGAAATAATGAACAGAGATAGAGAAGCAAGGAAGAAAAAACAAAACAAAACAGATTAATTAGCACTTACAACTTATTAAGTACAATTAAAATTGAACAATCTAAATTAGCAAATTACCCTCCTCACCCTTTCCAATTGTCATTATACTTGTCACAAAATTTGTCTAGCTGATTGATTATTCAATCCTCTATTCACTTAATAACTTCTAAATAACTAATCACTTTCTTCAATTATTACAGCTTAAACAGCCACGGACAGTTGATATAATTGTTGAAAGCCATACCTAAACATCAAAGCTTGGATAAATTACAAGAGGAACATTTAATCACAATTTAATGGACACCAAACATCAATACAAAATCAAACTGGACTCAAAGACTGTACCAAAACAATGATTAACTGAAGTCAATGATAAATTGTTAAATCTGTTACAGATCTAATTGGAAAAGTTAACAATATTGAATGATCAACTATGATTTGGCCAATAATCACAGCATGTAATGCCAGTGTCGATTCCAACCCTCAAGAATTACCAATCAGTTATTTAAGTTAGACTTTGAATGTCACCTTTGCCAAATTGAATTTAGCATTAAGATTGTGATTCCTATTTTTCACTTTTATCACTTAACTGTTTTGTGATTAGCTAAATTGCATTACAAAGGCAACTCTACAATACAGATTAATTCAACCGTCTTATTACAGTCAATTACTGGATCCATTTAGGTTCACCTTACAAATGAAAATTACATTTCATTTACGAAAAACTTGAGTTTATTAATACAAATTGAATTAATCTGGAATAATCGTAAATCTTGATTGTTGAGATACAAGTAGAGTTTAAATGATACTTGATATGATTATTGACTGTAATAACTGTTAACCGTCCTGAGTATTATTGATTTTGTTATTTAATATTGTTTTCAGTGTCCCTGATAAGGTTAAGTTTTTTTTCATCATGAATAAATCAAGATGAGCTAATAGAATATTGAAATTTCATTGATTGTTTAATTGAATGTTGAAGCTTATCTGGTTCCTTCTACCCATCATTACCATATCAAAATCTCGAGCAATTGCTAATACACTTTCAACGAAAATTTCAACTAACAAAAGCGTCAATCAACTTGAACCTTTGTTGGTTATGATGATGTAATTTGCTTTACTAATACACTTTCCTCATCATCATCATCATAATCATGGTGAATCAATGAACATGAAAAAAAGCCAAATTTCATGTTCAAAGGTTCAATTGATATTTTGCTATTGTCACAATAGGAAGGAGAACAAAAAAAGTAGACAAAAAAATCTATAAAGAAACTAAAATGTAAATTATGAGAAATAAAATCTAATATCACATTTATCAAAAATATAATGCTAATAATCAAGATGAAGCTAAGGTTAATAATAAAAATTAGACTCTTAGTTTTCCGTTTCATTTAGATGTGAAACATTTTTCTGTTGAATAAATTTCCTGTGAAAATATGAAACATGAAAAGAAGAGTAAACAAAAAGGAGAAGAAAAAAGATGATCAAAATTTGGGTAAAAACGATCGACTATTGACTTGTAAAATACCCTCATTGTGAGCTACATTTGATGCTATTGGAGTGACTTTGCTAGGTTGAAAGATGGTTGAGCTTTGGGGGAAGTTTAAGGTGAGAAGATTGTAAAGATGAATGGCAATAATGAAGGTGAGGGTGGAAGCTGGAAATTTCAACTGAATAGAAAAAAGTAAATTCAAAAGTTGAAATTGAAAATTGAGTTTTCATTTTTGTCTTAAAAAGAGAGCGAAATTGAATCTTGTGACTAATAAATTTTTGACTCATCACCTTTGAGATGTTCATCTTGAGTTCACATTCTCATCATATAACATTTCATGTGAATAGAAAGATGATGATGATGGAAATGATGAGGAAGATGAAACAGAATGAATACACATCTGAATACACATCTGAATAAGAAACATTATAATGTTAGTTTTTCAAGTCACATTAGATTGAAAATTGAGGCAAAAAAGGCGAAAGGAAAAGTTAACTTTCAACTCTTTTTTTCCCTTTGATTGAAAATATGTGTCACCATGGAATCTATTTTTATTACAACACTTCATCATGATCATGATCATCCTCATGACTAGCTTCAGAATAACGTGAAACGACTCGAGAAAAAAGAAATGTTTGATTGGTACAAAAAAAACGTTGATTATGTTTACATGAAAAGTATATCTGGTAAAGTCTATTAGCTTTAAAAATTTTGCCATCATTTCCATCAATCTGAATATTTCGTCTAAAGGTAAATGAAATGACATGAAAGGAGGCGAGATAAAAAGATTGAAAACATTGAAAGTGAAAGGCTAAAAATATAAAGGTTAACCATTAAAAATGCTGATAAATAGCACGATTGCCAGTAATGTTTCAAATTGAATGGTCAACAAAATGGTGAATGTAATTTTTTCCCCATTTCAATGTAATCAGATTGCCTTTTCATCGCTTCTGTAAAATGCAGCCTTTTATCTCAACCTTTTCCTGTTTTCAACCATTTTTATCATGAAACCAATCTTGATATTCCAGTCATTCATCAATGGATAATTGATACATTTTGATTCGCAATCTTGAACCAGATCGACATCTCTATCATTATTCACATCTTTTTTTTCATCTTTACCTCTTGGTCTATGAAAAGTTGAAATTATTGTGTTCATATTGAAACGCTTCTTCAACTATTCTGTCTGGTCACTTAATATTATTCAATTTCGTTATTGAACATCCTTTAGTCGAGTGAACAAAAGGTCAGGGAATGAAACAGGAAAAAACAAACAATTATCATTACAATTGAATAACATTAAGTGAAGGCAAGAAAAAGGTTAAAGCTTATATCATTGAAAGTGAAAATCCGTTTGGAAGGTTAATTTGTTTCCATTTTTTCCATTCTCTTTTCATTTCCTTGGATTTCCTAGCAAATCTCAATTCTGATTTGTAAATTGGCCAACATTTTTTCCTGGAAATTTATATTCTCACAATAATGAAACATTGATACTTCAACCTTTCCTTTCCCCTGTCAATTGTTCACTCACCATGAGATTGCTACAGATTATGAGAGAAGACCTTTTTTCCAGTCTTTTCTCATGTTCGTTCAATTTTCAAACTCAGAGAATAAATTGTCAAGTCACGAGCTTTTTCTTTATTTGAATTTCATGATGAGTTGGTGAACAAGGAAAATGCTGTAAACATTGAAAGTGTATTAATACAGCAAAGCAGTAAAAGAGTTTCGCCAAGTTTAATGTCATTATTAATACAAAGGGTCATAAAAAAGGGTTCACAGGGAATGATGTAAAGAAGTGAATGTTTAAGGATAAAAACCATCAGAATATTACATTCAGTTGCATGTTCTGACCATGTTTACTCAGTCACAATTGTTCTGTTATTTAAATTGAAAGAAAAGTGAAAAGTGAAATGAAAGGAAAAATGAAATTTAAAAATGAAACAAAAAGAATCCAAAAAAGAGACATTTTTTGTTCCATTTTTTCGCTTCCATCTGATATATCATTATGTCTGATATTTTAGAGTTGATTGAGTACAAAAAAATGCTTTTATCATTTTCACTTTTCTGTTCATCTTGATAATGGCAGCCTGAAAAAGAGTTGAACCAATGAAAAGAAATTGAACGGAAATGGTCAGGGTGAATTCCCGGAATTGAATGTTCCATCATGTTAACATGTAGACAATGAAGAATGAAATGTTTTTTTCTCCTCGATTTTCTTCCTCTTTGCACCTCTTTTGCTTTCAACTGTTATCAAAGTAAATTTCATGTTGAGTTGGAGGAAAAAAGAGTGCAAAAAGTGGAAAAGGAGAAAAAAGGAGAAAATTCAAACTCGTTTTCATGATGAAACTTTGATGAAGCTAGTTGAACCTTGCAACATTGTCTTGGCCATTTGGACATCAGGAAAAGCAAAGGGAAAAGGGTCAATTGGAAAGCAATTACAATCTTTTGGCTTCATCATCATCTATCCATTAACATAGTTTTCACCTTCTTACATCAATTTTCATTGCTTATTCCGATCATCATTTCGATGATCATTCATTCTGATCGTCTTCACTATCTTTGTTACCTTTATTCAACTTGTCATTCCCTTCAATGGATACATTTCAATTTAGTTAGTGACAAACTCAACAATTGACAGCTCTTTAACCAGCTCTTGTAATGCATTTCAAGTTTCACATTATTAGTTTAATGTTGATCTCATGAATAAACTTGTTTCCAGTTTCAAATAAACATTTCTCCTTGTTTCGCCTCAACTGGTTAACCAGGTTAGAGTATCAATCTAAAAATATAACTCTTGACCATTTTTCATCTCAAGTTTACCTGGGAATGTCTTGTGTGCTGAGAAGAGGAAAGCGTTTTGGTTTTACCACTTTATCAGCCTTAAAAGGTTTTCAAAATGTTAACAGTTGAAAGTGTTTAAATTTTAATTGAAAAACGGTAATAAAACTCTGTGTGAATTGAATCGCAATCTGGAGATGAATATGGTTTTTGTATTCAAGTTGAGTTTGAACAGCAAAAACTGGTAAAGATGAAAAGGTTTTAATGCTTTAAAGATCAAGTTGAGAAGCTTTAATGCACTGAAAAGGATTCGTGTTTCACCGCAATTCTGGTTACTGGTGGCAATGTTGTTGAGTCGAGTTAAACCTTTGGGATTTCTGGTCGATTCCATGAGAAAAAATAGCAAATGAAGCAAAAAATTCACACTCAGTTGCAAGATTTAAAGTCGATTCAGTTTTACTTTAACTTTACCTTCGATTAGGTTAATAACTTGACTTTCAGTCGATCACTTATTTCTTGGAAATAGATTGTGTTCAGAAATAGAAACAGATTCAGACAATTAAATTACTCGTGTTTAGAGTTTAATTAATTTCAAAAGCTTGCTAATTAAGTTTGGTAAAGACAAATTGTTACTTTCTATTAATAGCTCCATGGAAAGGTTGTGATCTTTTGAGCTGCAATTTAAACTTGAATCAATCAGAGTTGTTTCAGAATTGAAAATCTCTGAATCTATTTGATATTGTAACTTATTAAATTGATGGATAATATTGAATTTCATTAGTTTTTTATTGAATCAAAAAGTTTGCCAATAAAACAAAATTAAATCAAGAAAACAAGTTTAATTATTTATACAAAAATGCATTCAATTTGCTTTGGATGAGAAAGCAAAGGGTCAAAAAGGATTCCTTGGTCCAGATCTAATATTTTTAACTCCTAACTGCTTCTTACCAAGCAATCATTTTGATTTATGTTTCTGATTCTGTATCCACTGAAGCTAGTTTAACATCATTTTTTAGTGGTTCAATATTTTACACATTCAGTCCTTTTCATCACCATAAACGATATATTTTGCAAACTCCTATCCAAACCAAAACTTGTCAAGAGAAATGAAAGAAATATTCAAATCGCAAATCGAGTTTCGGTTCCATTTAACTATCATTCGTATCTCGATATTGAGTTAACGACTTCAAGTTAATAAGCACTTTCTTCTGACGACTTCGCTAACAACACGGACAACTAAACTAACGATCTTTATCATTCGCTCGTTCGTTCGTTCAAGAGACTTCTCGATTTGGAAAATCAACTGTAAAAGCAAAGCTAGTCGATTGCAGATAACTATTTACGAACATAGATGAACTCGAATCGAGTGGAATTGTTTTTGCATATTTCTCAAGATATTGCACTCAACAATAATAGACTTTAATCAATAAGTTTTACTTTGCTTTTAGAGCACAATTTGAATGCTTTTGCTATGTTGTTGAGTGTTTCAATATTAAAGTTGATCATTAAACTTGAAATGTGCTTAAAGTCAATAGCAATCAATTTACATTATCATTTGCCTAAAATAATCATTTTAATTGTTTAGTCTTCGGTAATTAATTGATCAAGATTGAGCAATGGACTAATTAACGATGTAACAAAAACAAACTAAATTGGACGCAAAATCATCAA